AATCATTTTGTGTGCTGCACTTTCACTTAAACATAATTAAGTTGCAGCAAAAGCCGGCACGCACACACACACACACGTCTAGGTCTGGCAAATGAGAAGCGACAACAAAGAGATGAACAGATAATGAACGCCTACACAAACTCTCGTTACGACAAACATACGGATATTTGTGTACAAATTGAAAAATGCAACACTATCTTTAGAGACATACATACATACATAAATATTGGATATAGAGGATGTTCTTTTTAGACGTGTGGTAATACAGTTTTCGGAGTTGCTCTTTTCGACAGCTGTTACTTGATTCATACTCAGTTTCGTTTGACATTTAATAATGAGCAGACTTTCTACGGAGCCACGTTTTGAAATCATGAAAATTGATTGCCAAAATAATGTTTCGGTTCGCTCGATGCAAACGTGAACTGCGTTGAATATTTTGTCAACATAATCGCCCAGCAGAGTTGGTCATTCGAGCAATAATGGATCAGATTCGCACCACGTTTACTCTAGTGGATAATGCGTATCCTCAGATACGCCGTACTTAGCACACTGAAGAAGCTAATTTCGCTGTAGAGCAAAGTTTTTAAGAAAACCCGAATGATTCCAGCCGCCTTTGCGCGCAACAATTGAAGCTATGCCCAACCACTCTATAGAAGCTTTTGTGGAAGGATCTTGGTTTGAGAGCTTATGAAATCCAAGTCGCACAATAATTGAAGCCGAATGTCGACCCTTCCGAGTGTACACGTATTTCTGAGATGTAAAAATGTTCCTCGTAAAAAAGCCGTTCGGAGGCGGCTTAGTATAAACTTTAGCTCTTTAGCTTTAGCCAAAAAACGCTTTAGCGGTTACAAATTACAATATCTCTTCAAAAATGAGGCCAACAATCAGTTACGTTACAGTCCGACTTGGAGGATATTGATGTGGACGAACTTGAATTCCAACAAAAACGGCTCTAGATGGCATACTGCCAACGAAACAATCAATTAATTACAGAAAACTTCTGACGAGCGCATTGATTCTGGTCCTGTGCCAAGATCCTGCGGATAACCAAAGCTGGTTTTTTTTTTGTATATTTATATAAAATCTCTAGTCTAAGCAGATAATTCCAAGCGATTGAAACCTTTCGACGTATTTCTAGGATGGAATTCATACGAGCTAGAAGCGGCAGTAACTTTTAAATTAGATTGACAAACCTTTTTTGTTACTATAAATCTAAAAATTAGCCGTAACATTTATTCAAAAGCGTTTGGTTTCTACTTGAAATCCATATGTCTAAAAAAACACCCTTTACAATGTGACTTATTTGTATTGAAATTCATTGATTGCTCTTTTTTATTGAACTTTCAATAAGATCGGTTTTTAAAGTGAAACTATGTTTTTTTTGTTTTCACTTTTGTTGTTTATCGCTGCCAATTGGTCACACGTACATATATGTATCAATATTTCTTTGCTCACACTCATCGCCTCAACTTCGTTATTTTGTTCTTTTACAATCATTAATTTAATTTTGATTGTTTCATTAGTTCCGCTGCAACAAATAATCATTTATCATTTTCCTTTTCTGCCTTCGCTTCACCCTTTCCGTTTGCTGTTCTCGTGATGGCTATTTTTCATGCCCAACAGTCAATAATATGATCAGGGCAGGGAAGAGATGCTCGCATATGTAGATATGTGTGTGTTTTCAATACCTTTCGCTAATGATATTCTTACATATAAACGGGAGCTGTGAAAAATGGAAAATTAAAATTTTTTTAATAGAAAAATATTTTTGGTTTCATAAACTTCTACAATTTTTTGTCAACTTAAAATAAGACTCTTTTAGGTATAATAAATGCAATTGCACCTGCATAAAGTGTAGAAGTGAAAAGAGGTCAGAGAACAGCTTATATTTACTAATGGGGCTATGAATGCCCTCTTGGATTTATTCCCCATTGGCATTTAAGGCTTCGATAGGCTACAGACGGTGTCTGAGTGGAAAATGATAAAACACGCTCGCACCAATATCTGTACTATGAAGGTTCCATTTACTCTTCCCTGAATTCAAAAATTACTATTAAATAGCTATCCCATTTAGGAACCAATAGTACATGGTTGCTGCAGCATATGCAGGCTCGATCGAAATTTAAAAAAGCATGACCCAAACCTGGACAACAGAGTCGGTTGTGGAATCTACTGAAAGAAACTTGTGTATGCCAGTGAATTTTATTGGGTGTATGCATTAATTCGTGCGTTTTTTTCGAAAATCAAGACTTTATTGTGAAAAAAATTGTTATACATTTAATGTTCAAAGTATTGCCCATCGGAGGCTACGATGTTTGCCCATCTTTCTGGTAGTTTGTGTATCCCAAAAGAACTACTTCGGCCTGGAGGTCGAGAAAGAATCGAACCAATTTCCGATACCCTGTTCTAAAGTAAAGCGTACTCCGGTGAAGGCATTCTGCATTGATCTGAACAAGTGGTTAACGGAAGTTCCTATGTGTGGACTATAGGGCGGGTGAGGTAGAACTTTCCATCCACAATTTTCCACATAGATTTTAACTGGCCTTACAACATGTGGCCGAGTGTTGGCATAATGAAAAATTATTTATTTGTGTCTGGTCGCATATTCTGGTTGTTTTTCCGCGATGGCCTTTTTCAAACGAATCAATTGTTTTCGGTAGAGGTCTCCATTGATCGTCTGACCCGATTTCAATAGCTCATAATAGAACACACCCTTACGGTCAAACCAAATACATAGCATAATCTTGGCACCACGGATATTTGGCTTTGCCGTGGATGTCGATGGTTGGCCGGGCTTCACATACGATCTCTTGCGCTTTGGGTTATCATAACCCACTTTTCAACGCCAGTGATAATCCGATGCAAAAATGGCTTCTCTTGGTGGCGTTGAAGCAACATTTCCGACATGCAGAATCGACGTTCAACGTCTCTTGGCTTTAATTCATAAGGCACCTGATGCATCTACGTCGAGCAATGTCTCCAATTCTTCGTCTTGAAATTTTTTTGGTTGTCCGGGTCGTCCTATGTCGTCTAAGTCGAAATTGCCAATTTTAAGCCGTGCAAGCCACTAGCCGCGTAGCTAGCAGTGCCAGCTACCATTTGGAGAGTTAAAATTTCACGTTATGACCGGATAAACAAATAAAAAATAATATGAAATTAATTAAAAAGAAGTGGGCTGTGATTAGATATTTCTAGAAATTCCAAACTTAAAGCCATCCATTCGACGTATTTATGCTGAGGCCGAATTTCGCCTGGGATTTTTTCAAAATGTTAACGTTATTTATTTCATTATAAAAAATCGATTACTATCATAAAATTCTTGACTGTTTATAAAGTTTAACGAGCTTTTTGTATCCAAATGTTTTTGAATACATCGGCCACGGGCCAACTTTCTGAAATAAGCGTGGTCCATATATAAGCCTAGATAAAAAGATATTCCAAGTATCAGCATGTGATTTTTTTGAAACAAATTGTTACCAAGTCCACTTACGAGAAAGAAAAATTCTCTGCAAAAACTTATATTTTTTTTTAGTTTTTCGAAAGCACATATATTTCAGAATATTTTTCGAAAATCTGAAGTTGATCCGACAAGCAGTCTTGTATCATTAAAGTAGTCTCGTGGGTCTCTAGAAATAGGCGAAGCGCAAGGCGAATAGTTTAACTTAGTTCAAATGTCGCGCAAAACTTTAAATGCGATTTTCTCGAGTAAGGAAAATTTTCCTGAAACGGCTGAACCGATCGGCTAAAAATTTTCGCACCTCCTTCTAAGACATATTTGTTCGTTAACGGCCGAAGGAATAAAATTTTAGCAAGAATTTCGATTTTTTAAGCCACTTTGAAGTATAGAATTTCGCACAAAAAATTATTATTATTTTTTCTTTTGAAGCGGCCATTCTTCAAAAATCAAAATTTTCACTAATTTGCAGCAAAAAAATCTTCCTCACTGCCCGACACGTTTTTTTAGGGACACTTCTAGCTAACTCTAATAAAAAAGATCCAATATTTTTTAAATTTTCTCTATTAACATTTTTTTAGAGTCAAATTAAAAGTTAGATCCAGTTCAAAATTATTGAAAAAATCATTGAGATTAAAATATTTGCTCCTTCGGATTAGATCAAATTTTCAACTGCAATGGTATCAACTGAAAAATAACAATCGTTATATAACGGTCAATGTGAGAAAGAGTGTTGCCAAAAATACTTTTTTTATTGAATCGACCATTCATCACAATTTTAGCATTTTTCATTTTATAAACTGTTTTTCTCTCACTCTTCTATTGCTTTTCTTTCACATACATACATAGATACATGCAAATATATATATTTTTTTGTAATTTAACACATTGTTTGTTGTTAACCATGACATTATTATTTTGGTTAATTACCTTTTACTGCTTGAAAATACATTTTCTTTCTATCAACTTTTTTCACGTTGCATTGCATTTTTTGCACTTTTTCTTGCATAATTTACACTTTTTTGCACTTTTCATATTTGTTTTTATTTTTTTGTTTACCACTTTGAATGTTATCTGCATCGAGGTATTTCTAATATTTATTTTGTGTCATAAAATCATGCCGTTATACGCTTCACAGTTAAACTGCATACAAAAATGTTGTTATTTGTTAATTTTCTATATTCCTTTTCACGTAATTTCTTCACTTTTTTCGCTGTTGTTTTAATTTTTATACTTTCACATGCATTTTATACAATCTTTATAGTGTAATTTTACTGTTTTTTTATTTTGTTGTATTGTTGTTGTGATTAATTAGTTCATCACCATGCAACCGAAAAAAAAAATAATAATAATAAAAATCATTTACTAAATACATATATAACAATAAATATATTAAATTGTCAACTAATATGTGTTTCTTGCATTTTTCTCTCTTTATCTCTCTATTTCTTCCACACAACACTTTACTTTTTATGTTTGTTGCACATGTTGTACTGTGTATTTGCTATTGTGGTTCATGCAACATAAACTATGTGTACGATAACAGCATATGATAGCGATGACATTGAAGAGCTGCAGGAACCATCTAAGGATGAGATCAAAGAGGGTCAATGGCTCGGTGTGACGGTGCGTTCGCAAGGACTCGGCGGAAGGGTAAGTACAAAAATATGATTTTCACACAAAAGGTTATGCATTTCTTGGTTTCGAAAGTACTGAATTGTATATTGATATCTCTTGAACTTAACTATCGAAACAAACATGTTTTGTTCAATTTCAATTTCAGTTTTAATATTAATTTTAGTTCTAGTTATAGATTTTAATTTAAAATTTAATTTACATTTCTTTTTAATTTAAATTTAATTTTAATTAAATTTTCACTTCAGTGTTAATATTAAATTTAATTCAGTTTTATTTTTAAATGCAGCTTTTTTAAATTTTAATTCTAATTTTACTTTTAATTTTTAATTTGGTCTTAATTTTAATTTTAGTTCACATTTTTTTGAGTTTTAATATCAATTTTAGTTTTTTTAATTTTAATTTTAGTTCTAATTTAGATTTTAATTTTAAATTTAATTTTAGTTTTATTTTTAATTGTAGTTTTTTTTTAATTTTAATTTAAATTTTACTTGAAATTTTTAATTTGGTCTTAATTTTAATTTTAGTTCACATTTTCTTGAGTTTTAATTTCAATTTTGTTTTTTTAATTTTAATTTTATTTCTAATTTTATATTTAATTTTCTATTACATTTCATTTTATATGCAATTTTTATTTAATTTTAATTTTAGTTCTAATTTTAGATTTTAATTTTAAATTTAATTTTAGTTTTATTTTTAATTGTAGTTTTTTTTTAAATTTCAATTTTAATTTTACTTGAAATTTTCAATTCGGTGTTAATTTTAATTTAAGTTAAAATTTTTTTGATTTTTAATTTCAATTTTGGCTCTTTTAAGATTAACCTAAATTTAATTTTATTTCTAATTTTATATTTAATTTTTTATTATATTTATTTCATTTTATAAGTAATTTCAATTTTGATTTTATTTTACTTTTAATCTTAGTTCTAGTTTTAGAATTTAATTTTAAATTTAATTTTAATTAAATAATTTTAGTTTACATTTGTTTTGGTCTTAATTTCAATTTCAGTTCTTATATTAATGTTAATTTAAGTCATATGTTTAATTGTAGCTGTTTTAAATATTAATTTAACTTTTAATGTTTAATTTGGTCTTAATATAAATTTTAGTTTCAATTCTATTTTGCTCTAAATTTCAATTTCAGTTCTAATTTTAATTTTAGTTTTATTATAGATTTTACTTTGAAATTTAATTTTAATTTTATATTTTATTTTAATTTTGATTTTAATTTATTTTTAATTTTAGTTTTGGTTTAAATTAGTTTTAAATTGTTTTTTATTTCAGTTTTGATATTAAATTTAGTTTAATTTTTATTTGTAATTGTAGCCCTTTTTAATTTCAAATTTAATTTTACTTTTAATTTTTAGTTTGTTCTTAATTTTAATTTTAGTGTTAATTTTAATTTTAATTCTAGGTTTAGATTTTATAGTTAAATTTTGTTTATAATTTTAATTTAGTTTTAATTATAGTTGATGTTTTTTTAACTTTCATTATTTTTAATTTTAATTTCAATTATTTAATTTTTTTATATTTTAATTTAAAATTTAGTTTTTAGTTTTAAATTTAGATTTTAATAATTTTTTTTTTTTGCAAAAACTAAGATTTCAAAATCGAAATGGGAAAGGCATTTCAGTCTGAAGGTCTCTCTCTGTACTTACACTAATTCAGTAGTCTTGAAGTGCTCTCGTGAAGCTTAGATCACCAATTATGAGCTGCACATTATGCCTTTAGCAGCAAATCAACTCAATAGAAAACAAAATTTATGTCAATAAAAAGTTTAGTTCAGTATAGAATCGCCTATTAATTCGGTTATGAGCATATGTATATATAACAAATGTGTATGTGCCCTTTCAAAAACATTTAATTCCTTTACCGGCAACATTGAACTGGTCGATGACCCTAAAAATACTTAACCTTTTGACCATAGAATTGTAAACCAAAACCAAAATTAAATAAATAAAAATTGATCAACTACAAAAACACACTCTCTCAACTATACTTATGCTGTTAAAATCTTTAAAAAAAAATTTTCGGTTACTATTTTTGTTGTTAACACAAAAGTAAACATAAATTGTTAATGACTTAATTAAGGTAAACACTGCCTTCTTTAGTTGCATTGCCGGCAATAAATCATGTATTAATGCTCAAAGTTTGAGTGTGTTTTGTGTATAATATACATATATACAGACCGTCTTAAACAATAGTTTTTGTATTTTTTATCTTTTGATGAGCAAACATAAATACTTTTATATTTACGCATCTTTTTGTTTCCTTTTTTTGATATTTTTGTTAATTATTTGTATTTATTTTTCATAATTCATCTATTTTTATTTCTCCTCTGTTCAATAGGTACTTGTGTGCGCGCATCGTTACATAATCAAACAGAAAGAGAATCGTCTTGGTCAAGGTCTGTGCTATGTTTTGGACAATGAGTTGAATTATGATGAAGTGTATGAGCCGTGTAAAGGGCGACCCGTACGCAGGTTGGTATCTGTTTTTTGTGTTGTTTCTCAAATTTTTTTACACCTATAATAAGATGAGTATGGAGTGACGATGATTTTTATCGTTGCTTTGCACACTCTCTATTTTGTCTTTGCTTTTGAATCTGTGTTTATTGAATTTTTGTTGCCTATCAATAATCGTAAAGCTTATGGTCATATTTTTCTAATTGAGCCCCTCGGATACCGGCCCACAGCGTGAAGTAGCTGTGACTTGCTGACTGGTACAGTGATCTACCATTTCCTACTTTCTTCTTTTGTTATTCAGCGAAAGATCTCAGCTCAGTGAATGGTCAAACTTAATCCAGCCTTGGCTATCCTACATTGGTTAACATTTCTCCGATACACACGGCGTTATAAAAATATCTCACGATCTACCAAAACTCTTGGATCTTTCGATTCCACGTACTTAGAGCTACACTCTTAGAGGGAGAGGCATCCGCAGTTAGTAAAAAAAAACTCTTTAATTTAAAAAAAAAAAATTGTTGTTCTTGTTAAGATCAACTCGTCTTAATATACCCATACCGGAGAAATTTCCACGGCTCACAGCAAATCCTGTACGAAAGCTTTGAAAATATGTTTTCGAATAGCTTTGCAAAATAATTTGGTATTTTCTTCTTCTTATTCATTGCCTTAGGCCCCGCTTACCCAAATAGAGCCGAATTAACAATATCACTCGAATCGTTCTCATCGCTATTTGGCGCCAGTTAGAAATACCAACTGAAATGAGGTAGCTCTCCATCGAATCNTTTGTCTTTGCTTTTGAATCTGTGTTTATTGAATTTTTGTTGCCTATCAATAATCGTAAGGCTTATGGTCATATTTTTCTAATTGAGCCCCTCGGATACCGGCCCACAGCGTGAAGTAGCTGTGACTTGCTGACTGGTACAGTGATCTACCATTTCCTACTTTCTTCTTTTGTTATTCAGCGAAAGATCTCAGCTCAGTGAATGGTCAAACTTAATCCAGCCTTGGCTATCCTACATTGGTTAACATTTCTCCGATACACACGGCGTTATAAAAATATCTCACGATCTACCAAAACTCTTGGATCTTTCGATTCCACGTACTTAGAGCTACACTCTTAGAGGGAGAGGCATCCGCAGTTAGTAAAAAAAAACTCTTTAATTTAAAAAAAAAAAATTGTTGTTCTTGTTAAGATCAACTCGTCTTAATATACCCATACCGGAGAAATTTCCACGGCTCACAGCAAATCCTGTACGAAAGCTTTGAAAATATGTTTTCGAATAGCTTTGCAAAATAATTTGGTATTTTCTTCTTCTTATTCATTGCCTTAGGCACCGCTTACCCGAATAGAGCCGAATTAACAATATCACTCGAATCGTTCTCATCGCTATTTGGCGCCAGTTAGAAATACCAACTGAAATGAGGTAGCTCTCCATCGAATCCTTTTCACAGAGTTGAGGTCTTCGGCATGCGTAATGCTTCCCACTTCAGCTCACGGTAATTATCTCACCCCGCACGTGTTGTGGTCGATCGCAATGTTGTATCGTAGGCAGTCTATTTTCTCTCCACTGCAATCCGACATTCCTCAGAGCTGGTACAACCATTTTTTCAGTACTGCCGAAAACCAATTGTTACCGTAGCGGCGGTGAGTTTGACATGCCATTCCAAAGCTCCCTTATATCGAGGAGTACTCTCAGAAAGTTTGCACCCGATTTGATATGCTGGAGACATTATCGATTTGGATGCGTGATTTTCTATCTGGTGACAGCCACGCAGCTTATTGTATTTTCTTGTGCTGGAATATAGTTCAATATACATGCATTTTTCGGGCCCCAACGCCTTCTAGGCCCTCAAAAAACTAATGTGTTTGGTCTATCTATTCAATCGGGACGTGAGCGCCAATCAGCGATACGTTGAAAAATTTCACTTTGATATGAATTTTGACCGCTCATCCACCGGAGTGAATGCCAGTATTCGGCGATGGAGTCTCTCCACCACTACAAATTGGACACCGAATTTGGGGTCCTCTAAATAAAAAGCACCCTGTTCTTCATCTAAGAGTACGCAAATGATTCGTTTCTATCCCATCCTAAATGAATGACTGTCAAAATCTTGCCTCAATTGAACGTAAATAGTGAAAAAAAAATATTTCTTTATCCACCGAACAAACACATTTAGGGCAATTTTTTCGAGTGCCTTTTAAAATTTAGCCTCTCTTTAAAAAATGTTTTCGTTTTCCCAACTTGTTTTAGTATGTGGCTGTTAAATTTAGCAGGAGGTCAAAGCATTGGTTAACAAGTTTTCTTTTCATAGCGACATTTGTTTAGTTTACAAACAGTAAGCAACTGTTAACAAAATTTACTTTTTTTCTTTTACAACAATATTGTAAGAATATACAATAAAAAATAGAGAGGTATTTTATACTCATGACCTTAAGGAAAGAAGTTTGAAGAAGCCTCTGTGCACCATACTGCTTAGAGAAATTTAAGAGAACTTATTTTATTTACATTTAGAACAGCTGATTTACGTTGTTAGTTTCTTCCTCATCGCAGTACCGCCACCTTTTACCTAATATTAAATAAACATTTAACGCGTGATCGAGAAGTTTGCATTTTCTTACTTATCATGCCATTAAATTTAACTGTTTGTTTCGTGATCCTTACATTGACGTCTCTTAATCTCTCAAACATGTCATATTATGCGATGAAAAAGTAGTTTCACTAAATCATTGCCTACATCTAGGCGCGAAGGCGTAATGCTTGATTTGCTTTCGCATATTTACCTTATAATGAGTTCAATGAATATGCCAATATATACCTATATATACACATATATATATGTAATATAAACATATTAAAACATAAATAATATTTAACATAATTTATCTCGTAACGGCCGCTTTGACCTTCTCACACCTGAAAAACAGCATAAAATATATTTATAATAAAGCATTAAATACTAATAAATTTTCACGCCAAATTGATTAGGAAATGAAGGAGATTAATACAAAAGGCTAAAGCGGAATTTATGCTAACGTATTCCATTGTTAACAGAAAGGTCCAAACTTCTTTGCATAATTAAAATCTCATTCATTTATCACAAACGTCACGAAACCCAAAGGATATGCAGACAAATACTCTATGGCGAAGTTGTTTTTGAATACCTTTTTTCTACTTTTTTTCTCGGCATAAACAATGAAAATATGTAAATTGATAAAAATGGGAAAACACTATTCATATGCTTGCTTACATACATATATGTATATATGTGACTGATAAGTCAGTGAAAGCGACCAAAAATACGTTTTAAGGAAAATTGTGTCAAGGCAGCAGAACATCAGGAGGTCCTACGTGTTACAAATTTTTATTTTTTTCATCTTTTTATGACGCGTACAAAATGAGCTTCGAAAGTGAGGGTGTGTTGTTGTCAGCTCGATTGCTTGTAGATAAGAAATAAACTGAAAAAAGACATTTGCTACGCTTTGTTTTCGCTTTCGGCGTGTTTGACTCATTTTACGCATTCTCATGCATATGTACTTATGCATATAGATACGTGTACATACATATGTATATACATATTTACTACATAACGTAAACTCATTATCTAGCAGCTGACCATACCCACTATTTGACTTGGCTTTCACTGTCGCCATGCAAAGTGAGAAGTGAGTAATTTGTTGTCCTTTTTTTCGCTTTATCGTCCTGACGTGCCATCGCAGGCCTGAGTTCCTTTCCACTTAGAGTTTCCTCTTTTGTCATTTGTATTGCATGCCAAATTTACATTTACCATTTTTTCAAGGTTTATTAGTGGTTGGGGTTTTTGGAACTTAGTTGTCATGTGCCATGTACGTAAGTATGTAACATTTTCCGCGTAATATTGCATATCAAGTCAAATAGTGGGTATGTATCTAGTAACGTTTCCATATGACTTGGAATTTGCGTAAACATTCTGAGTTATAAATATATATATTTATTATTTTTATATTTAATGATTTGATGAGATTCATTGCGTTATAATTTATTTCATTCTTATTATATTCCGTTACGTCACTGTTTTGGTGTTGAGTCATCATCGCTTGATTTAGTGAAGAACGCGGTTACTTAAATAAGCTGTACGTGTGCTTTTATCCTTTCGGTAGGCAATACCTAGCCATCCTGAATGCCTAGCCACCCAAATCTTGTTTTATTCGCTGCACTATGTCATCAATGCGCAAAAGACTGTAAATCTTCGGCAAAATCTTTCTCTGGAAACTGTAGAATGCCGACTCATCGAATATAAGCAACGGTGCACCACATAGCAGGACGAGCGACTTGTAGAGTCTGGCTTTTATTCATCGGAGGGCGATCTAACATTTTAATTTCATATTGAGTTCAATGTAGCCAGTTCACAAGAGTAGTTCTAACTTGGATTTCAAGGCTGAAAAAAATGAACCACAAAGAGGGTAGTTTAACTCTTCTTAAGGGCAACTATTCTACTTCGCCTGCCCTTGAGAGGAGTTGAAATATATTAAATATGATTTAAAACCTCACTATGAAATTTCAACTCTGGCAAAGCATGCACATTTCGATGTTGGTAGTCTAGAAATCCGCCCGTAACGTCGTAACTCGTTCCTCTAGTACTTGAAAGTGTTCCCTCATTAGTAGGTAATATGAAGCAAGGCTCATTCCACTGAAAAGGAACTGCAGGAAGAACTCTTTGTCTTATCGTTTTTATGAGAGATGGTGTGGATTCGCCCAAATCAAATTCAATTCAATCTTTTAAGTTTCCAGTTCCTGATCCTCATAGAGTGAGAATAAATGTTTGTTAATACCATAAGTGAGCTCAGGCCTATTCAGCAACTATTGACTTTCTTTACTAAAGTCGAACTCGGAAACAATGCACAGTAGTTCTGTTTGGTGGCTCTCAATAGCATATGCCAGCCGAAGGAGCACAGGAGCCTGTTGAGCGTTGCAACTAATAACGAACTTCCATCTGATTTTACTGTAGGATGACGGTCCTGTAAACGGACAACCTTCATAGTGAACTCACACAGTGCATACGAGTATTCTGTATACCTAACCTAACATAATCAAAACATTAAAGCAGTCCCTCCGTGCACTTCTCACACTCAAGGACACCCACTCACTGCACACTTTCACTGCAGCCTTAAATGATTACGCATTCGCGTGACAATGTAACAGTATTCATATGTATATGGCGCCGCCGATATGAAGGTCGCGACGCACAACCCGCAGAGAGCACTTGCCGTAGTTGCCTTTGTTGAAGTGTAGGGGAGTAAAAAAAATAAAAATAAAAACAGACTGCAAATAATTAAAGTAAGCACTTAAAGGAAGTAAGTAATTACACACCTTAAAGTGCGCGCATTATGACAGCTACGAGCCCAACACAATTTCCTGCCTTTAGGCTTTTGGATTTTCATTCACTTTAATTTATTTTTATTAATTTTATTTTTTTTTTATGGCACAATGAGGTCAAAAACACTATTTAATCACTCGCATTAGCTGATGGTTACCATTGCGTACAAAAATTTTAAAGGCCAGGGTTTGAGTTCTGGTCCGCCCAAACGTCCGAAAATTTCAGAAAATAGGGAATGTCAAGCCTGCCGAGTCTGTTTGTGGCGTGAAATAAAAGCTCGTCATAAAAATCCATCGGCCGTTCGCAGGCGGCTTAGAATGAACTTCCATTTGTTGGAGAAACATCAATTCACATACCACAAATAAGAGCAGTACCTCGACTTAAAAATCGCCATTTATATTCTTCTTTTTCTTAACTGGTGAAGACGCCGCTTACATGATTATTTTCGAGTTAGCAACAGCTCGCCATTCACGCCTTATTTTCGCTGTTTGGTGCCAATTGGAAAAACCAAGTGTAGCCAGGTTCTCCGCCATCTCCAACGCTGTGGAGGACTTCCTCTTCTTCTTCATCCACTGCCGGGTACTGCATCGAAAACTTTCAAAACGTTCCTTTGCCTGCGGTATTCGCTGTATACGTGTACATACATATGTATATACATATTTACTACATAACGTAAACTCATTATCTAGCAGCTGACCATACCCACTATTTGACTTGGCTTTCACTGTCGCCATGCGAAGTGAGAAGTGAGTAATTTGTTGTCCTTTTTTTCGCTTTATCGTCCTGACGTGCCATCGCAGGCCTGAGTTCCTTTCCACTTAGAGTTTCCTCNCCTCTGCGTGCTGCCCAAGGCTGCTTTCAAATCCACGACGAAGTGGTGTGTGTCGATACTCTTTTCATGGGTATTTTTCAATATTTGGCGCATACTGAATATCTGGTCAATGATGAATTCACCTGATCCAAAGCCACAGTGTCCAATTAGTTTGTCGGCGGTATGCTTTAGTCTTTCATACAATACTCTCGATGGGCATATAATAAGGGCATAATAAGAGCCTCTCAGTCTGCATATATTACCGAGGCTTATCCCACGGTAATATACGCAGACTGTGTGGCTCCCCTTCTTGTGGAGTGGGTGGAGGATACTAAGGTTCCAACAATCGAGCATGCTTTGTTAGTTCTTCGTCGCCGTATTTGAACAGCTCGGGCGCGAAACCATCGTGCGATTGATATTCGAAGTGATTCATAGCCATCAAGGAATTTTGTTCGCCATGTCCTGCAGTTTCATTCTCACTGCCCTTCAGCAGGCGGGAGAAGTGTTCTCTCCATAAATTCAGTAAATCACCTCTCTGTGTCGCACGTATGTATAAATTAGCACTTTAGTACCGTGGAATAGAGGCACACTGAGGTCAAAATATGGCACATAAATCATTTTAGTTGTCATACAATGTACTCGTGTGTACAGAGCTCTTTGCATAGACACTTATTTACTTAGTAGCCAAGTTGAGTGGTGTCCAGTGGCATAGCCGCAACAAATTTGGGGCAAGCAATTCAATTTGGAATGAAGTCATTACAAAGGCATTGGCAACAGCCATAAACTGAGAAATCAAGCCTTCGAAACTTCAACTCCAACCTGTGGTAGCAACAACAATACGCTGATATGTTTCAATTGTATTTCAATTGTTGTTGTACAGTTGTTGTTGGGGCCATTAAGTTTGAATTGTTCAAATTTACAACCATAAAGAAATACATCAACTTGTTTGTCTGTTCAGTTTATTAGCGCCTGCTGCTTTCATTCAGCAAAATTAAAAAAAAAAAAAATATTTAAAAAAAATTTAAGAAAAATTTGAAAATAAAAAACAAAAAATCAATGATTAAATATTAAAAATAAATAATAAAAAGAAATAAAAAAATATTTTTTTTTTATTTTTTCATTTTATTTCATTTAACTGGGTTTGGCCACACTCAACAAATTAATTTATATTATACACAAGTACGTATGTATGTATGTTTATTGCAAACATGCAAGCGCAATTTTTCATTTATTCAATTATTTTTATTTAAAATTTTAATTCACTACATCGCACATAAACACACACATGCACGTATGTGAATACAAATTTTCCTCTTTGTCTATGACCACACCAATGTCTTTCTGATGTCCACCAATCCACCGACGTTGGAGTTAATGCACATTTTTCATTATCCCAAAATGGTTTTTCGTGTTTGCGCATACATTTTTACGGCACCCATACACACACACACACCCTCATATGCTGACCAATTTATAAGACGAAAAAAAAGTCAGTAAAATATGCGCCGGGGTGTGTATCTGTGGGTGGCGTAGGTGCAACCTGTGACACATACGTGCGGTGTTGCCTGTTGCTTGCGCTCGTAATGAATTAATTTACTGAATGTTCACCCCGAACTCAAACCTCATGACCTGACCCACTGTTTGTCTATGTGTGTGTGTATGTGCATTTACTTTTATTTTCAATTAAAATTTAATGTTTTTGTTTTTTACTTTTTCTATCCGCACAGAGATCACGAAGACTATGGCTTTTGTCAGGTGGGCACTTCAGGCGCTCTTTTAGATGACAACACCATGGTGTTGGGCTCCCCAGGTCCATTCACATGGCGCGGCACGGTGTTTGTTACGGAAATTGGTGGTGAATATTTGGAACGTGATAAGACAATGTATTACAGTGATCATATGGAGAATACTTCGCCGGTGGATAAATACAGTTATTTGGGTAAGCGATTTTGATGAACGGAAAGTGAATTGAAAAATTAAGAAAATACCGTAAAACATCTATGAAATACATAGCTTTCAGAGTTTTGAGACTTTTCGATGCAAGGCTGGAGTATAAATAAAATTAGTTGTTGAGTTCTTACAATCTCTTGAGAGATTTTTGGCTAAACTTCTCCTCTTAAAATAATATGTGATGCTTTTCCTGCAAATAGAGAGTTCACTTTTTTCCGTCTCCGGACGTATGAATTTCTATTTCTTGTGTCACATCTGCAATATAATTAGAATACCTCTCGTGGACACAGCGTTAAAAAAATAAAATTGGAAAGAGATCGTGCAAATGTTTCTCTCTCTAACTCTCTCTCCACTCCTCTCTCTCCCCCTCCACCCCTTTCTACCTCAACCCCTCTCTCCCCCTCTCTCTCTCCCCCCCTCTCTCTCTCCCCCCTCTCTCTCTCCCCCCCTCTCTCTCTATCTCTCTCCACCCGTCTCTCTCTATCTATCTATCACTTTTCTCCCTCTCTCACTCTCCCACCCTCACGCTCTCTCCCCCCACTCTCACCCTCCCGGAAGCTTTAGATACCCTTACCGGATCGGTTATTGCGACCTACTCTAGCCCTCGTCTGAAATATAACCTTTACCTATTTCTTCGCAAGCATATCGTATGTTCGTTCTGATTCTCAACAAAGGCTGGACGAAATATTATATTTCTCGTCTGAAAACAAATGTGTTGGAAAAATATCAAGACGCAAAACCACAAATTGGAGAAGGAGCCCGCCAAATATATATTATATATATAAACAAATGTCGAGACACTCGCCTCAGTACCAAAATTATCACCAAGGCAGGATCGCTATCATCTCTGATTGGTTTTAGGTTGCGGAAGCCTGGACTATGATAACAGCTAATAAGTCGGCTTTAGGAGTTTTTAGGACAAAGATTTCGTGAGAGATGTATGAATCTCTTGAGCATTGTCAAACGCGTATACTGTAGATGATCGAACGACTACGCTGGCTGGCTCTGTTGATCCACACCTTTCTTAGATTTTCCCTCAGTTTCATTGATATAAACACGACAACTTCAACACGAAATATCGACCTTGATAGTGGCCAAGATATCAAATTTGGAACTAGAAATCTTCGGAAGAAGCTTTATAGTGTTTTTTTTTGATCGCATATAACTCGGCTTCGAATTTTACCTGGAATGGGTACTTTAGTTGTCGTAGCGCTATGCGAGTCACGGTCATAGGGCTCATAGAAGATTAAAACAAAACTTATCCACGATTTAAGTTCTTCCAGAGATACGAGATAAAAAATTTCAGTTTTTATGGAAAATCCGTTAAGTCGTAGAACATGTCATCACATCATAATCTTTATCATCATCTTGACTGTTTGACTCAGACGCCACCATGTCGCATTCATCAATGTAAATTTAAGGCGTCTATTTGTACCAGAAATACCATGATTGGTGATCAGGATAATCTGGCTCTGGCGCCATTGAGTGGAACATTTGGTGTACTCCATATTCCAGTATAGATCCTGACATTTCGTAATTTTGAAATGAACATCTTACAAGTTTCTTTTTTAAGTATAAGAAAAATATATTTACTTTTACACTTTTGTTGTTGTTTTGATTGCCTTTTTTAATTATTTGCAAAAAAAAAAATCTACCCCCCGCAGGCATGGCTGTTACTGGTGGTCGCTACTTTGGCGATCATATGTCCTACGCAGCGGGCGCACCGCGTTCCAATGGCCACGGGCAGGTGGTAATCTTCAACAAAGCGAATACTAATCCCATACCAGTTCAAATGATACTCGAGGGTGAACAGTTTGGCTCCAGCTTCGGTTATGAACTCACCACTGCCGACATAAATGGCGATCAGAAGCCCGATCTCATTGTTGCTGCACCATTCTACTTCAATAAGTCCGAGGGTGGCACAGTGTACATTTACCAAAACGAAAAGGACTTGCTACCGGCCAAACCAACACTAAAACTTACCGGCGCACTAGAAAGTCATTTTGGACTTGCACTCGCCAATATTGGCGACATCAACAAAGACACGTGTGAAGATTTGGCTGTTGGTGCACCATATGAAGGTGATGGTGTTGTCTACATCTACTTGGGTTCACGTACGGGTTTGGTGAGTAAGCCAGCACAGCGTATAGAAGCCTCCGATCTCGGTTTACTACCAAACCCACTACATACCTTTGGCAGTTCGATTAGTGGTGGCACAGATTTGGATGGCAATTCATATCCGGATATCGCGGTAGGCGCTTACAATTCCTCGGCGGTGGTTATATTACTCTCGAGACCCATTATAAATATACAAACGTTGGCGCGTAGCAATGAGTTGCGTAATATTGATCCGGCGAAACCGGGCTGTCTGCATGATGCCTCAACGAATTTGACTTGTTTCACCTTTGAAGCCTGCTGCTCCATCGAACCCTATGAACCAACGTCGAACAATAAGGACTTGCGACTGCTGTACACCGTCGAAGCGGAGACTTTTGCTGGTAATAAGAAATTCTCACGCGTCTTTTTCGATCGCGAAAATAAGCGTAGCAATGTGGTTAAACGTGAGGTAACGGTACGCACGGACGGACGTCAGACTTGTCAACTGGTAACGGGTTATATCAAAGAGAATACGAAAGACATACAAAGTCCAATCAAATTCCGACTCAATTACACAATTGTGGAGCCACGATTGCCACGTTCAGGCTTGGAGCTACTAAATCCGATCTTGGATCAAACACAGGCATTCGCCGAGTTCGAGGGCACATTCCAGAAGGATTGCGGCGATGATGATATCTGTGAGAGTAATCTGATATTGAATGCTGAGTTGGATCTGAATATGGAGGGTGAGTACATTTACATCGAAACCGAATTCGTTAGATAAAAGTTTCATCAATCCAAATTATTTTCAGAGGACAATTACGCGCTGGTATTGGGCGAAAAGGACGAGATGCGTGTCAATGTGAATGTGTTGAACAAAGCAGACTCTGCATACGAGACTCAGCTGTTTGTGGTGCATCAGAAGAGTGTATCGTATATTGCAGCCTCAAGAACGGTAAGTCAAGGGAGTTTTTCAAAACCAATATGGTATTTTAAGAAGCACTTCATTTCAGAACTCTGTTACCTGCAATCGTTTCAACGACACCGTGGTCACCTGCAGCCTGGGTAATCCGATGCGCCGAAATACAGCTCTCTACATCTCGTTGCGTTTCGATCCCAGCGGGTTGGAGGTGGATGAACGTAAGTTGAGCTTTCATGTCTTCGTCAACACCACATCCCGCCATGTTGGCGATGAGCAACCCGATAAAAAATTGGAGGTGCGTGTCATCAAACGTGCTGAGCTCAGTTTGCTCGGTGAAGCAAAGCCCGAACAGAGTTTCTACAGTGGCGAGGTGAAGAAAGATAGCAAAGTTATGCAAATGGAAGATGTCGGCACGCCGGTCATGCATACCTATCAGGTGAGGCCATAAGCTGAAGCAATTAAATTAGGAAACATTTAATGCAATTCCTTTAAAGAGTCGGCTTAATGAACGTTACTTCTCTCTCCCCACAGATCTACAACGATGGCCCCTGGAAGGCGCCCAAAGTCGTGCTCACCATCTACTGGCCACATCAGTTGACCAGCGAAAAGAGCAAAAAGGACAAATGGTTGCTCTACCTGGAGGCCATGCCTATTGTGGAGAATGCCGAACTCAGCGAATGTTTCGTTGCACCCGAACATATAAATCCGCTCAAACTCTCATCGAAAACGAAACCCAGCGAAGTCTTCGATTCACTACTAATGGCACCCGCGCCCTATATGATGCGACCCACAAACAAAACACAATACTTTAACCGTTATAGCAGTGCGTATAGCGAAAAGAGTGTGTACACAAAACAACGAACGACGCAAAAGCCTGGCTTACACGATGAGGACGATGACGATGAAGAAGATCGTTATTTAAATCGTGTACGTCGAAATACTCTCGAACGTATCATAAGGCCCGAACGCTTTATGGACGGTGGGGGTGAGCATACGAATCGCAAGCGTGATATAGTCGAGTTGGATTGTCAAAAGGGGACAGCGACTTGTGTGAAAATTCAATGCGAAGTCTATAATATGCCCGCCAAGACAGAGGTGTATGTGCATGTACGTGCGCGACTGTGGAACTCCACGCTGGTGTCGGAATATCCACGCGCCGATTTGGTGCGTATTATGTCGCGTGCGCAAGCCAAAATACCGCTCGAGTATTCGGTAGAGCAGACGGATGCGCAAATATTGGTGAGTACATATTTGAAACTTGAATAATATTTTAACGGTTTCCTCAACCTCTCTTATTTTTATGTGATATTTTCTCACACCAGGTGGAGACGCGCGCTTATCCCGAGTTGCTCGATCAACAGCGTGAACAAACCACATCCATTTGGATCTATATTGTTGCCATCATTTGTGGTCTCATTGTGCTAGCCGTAGTCGTACTCGTACTATGGCGTCTTGGCTTCTTCAAGCGACGACGACCCGATCCAACGCTAAGTGGTAATTTGGTTAAGAGCGAAGCGAAACCATTCCTGAATGATGCAACGAGTAATGGTCGTGGCTTCTAACAAGAGGGGACGGTCGGGTGGGATCTGGCGCAGCGGGCGCCGCCTAAAATACAACAAACGCGTGCATGCTGTCTAAAGCTAAGCAAATATAACGTCGAACCTGCAACAATTGCCTCCGGTATTGAGACTGCCAATAATAACAATAATAATAACAACAACAATAATAATAATAACTACGCTTACAATGGCAATAATAATTATAGTACTTATCGAAGCTATCATCCATATGGCTTTGGTAGCAGTGCTAGCTATAAGCCAACTTGCAACGGTAATGAACAAACAGATGTGGCGGTCATCGATTGGGGTACACATTGGTAGTGGCGTAAGGTGGCGTAGATTTAGTGGCAAAGAAGTTCGGGCGTCATGTGGGGTGGTGATGCCTTAGTTGATACTACATACATAGAACGTATACTCATATATATATATGTATATATATATATATATATATATATATATATATTCATATATAAATATAAATGTATGTATATATATGTATAGTATATAATTGGTCTTCTAGGGTGGTAAATATGTAAATGTGCCATTTTACTTAATTTAGGCATACATACACACATACAAACATACTTATAAATAAATGAAAATTTTAGAAATAGCAATTATAGTTAGTGAAACGCTAATTTAACGAATTGGCTGTCGCTGCTGGTATAACAGCAAATAACAGTAAATATTTTAGGCATTCAATGCACAAAAATTTGGTTATAAACATTTAGTTGTAAACATGTTTCGGAAAAAAGGCCTTATTTGTGTAAGATTTAACCACGTTAGAAACTGAAACGCATTTAAATATTGTTTGAGCGGAGTTCGTGCATGAAAAATCTCTTTTTCAACCATTTTGCAACAGTTTCTTAGTGAGAGAGTACAACAAGGCATAACTAGATTAGCTACAGTTTGTACTTCGGCCATTTTTAATAGAAGAATTTTTCGTTTTTCTTAAGGAGCTGCAGCCGCAGCTTCAAAAAATCCATTCTACTATGTCTCTTGAGAATTTTAAACCAAATTTTCAAGTCGAAGCGGAGGTAAGGTAGGAGGGCGCTGGTAGGTCTTTTTCGTGGAACTTTGTTTTCAAAAACGGTTGACTATAATCTTGATGAAAATTTACACACTCACAAGGAAATGTGCGAAGGATTTTACTCTTCTCAATCGCAAATATTAAAAAAAAAAATTATAAATTTTTGGGCAAATTTACCTAAAAATTTTAATTAGTTATTAAAAAAAAATCTGCCATTTTCCTTCGTCCAAATTTTAGTTTAGAGTATTAACACGACTTTTTTATTTTGTTGCTCTTCAGTTTTCATTTCCTTTTTCATGTTCGGCCATCGGAAATACCGTCAGATTGGCGAAGTTATGAATATTTTCTTTTGAGATTTCATTTTCAAACTTCTTTTTTTAAGCCAGTAGAAAATTTGAATAAAATATTTAATTTTCTAAATTTTTTCTTTTCAAATATGCCATTTTTAACACGATTTAACCCATATATTGTATCTAAACCCCTGAAGTGAACAAACAACAAACACGAATTTAGTGGAGAAAAATGCTGGAAATTTATTAGTGTCTTCTGTAATAGCTTCAATAATTAAATATTGATGCAATATGTCTTATTAAAAAAAAATAGCGAAGGCCAAAACTGTCGTGTTGAAGTCAAAGGTATTTAATGTACTTTCTTACTAAGAATTGAAAAAAAATTACGTTCTTTGTACATACATAAGTACTTAAATTGAATTTAATATAAAAGATTTAAATATTTATGATCGATCTAAAAAATTATATTTTTACATATGCTATATCTCCATTGATTACTTTTGACTGGACTTTAAGCATTGCACAGCATTGGGGAAAACATTTGCAACCAATTTTTCAGTGTAAGAACTTAATTTATTTCATAATTTTATTTTATTTATTTTTTTTATTTTATTTTAATTTTTTTTAATTAACATTATTTTATATTATTTTAATTCATTTTATTGTTTCTAGTTTATTTTATAATATTTAATTTAAATTTATTTTATTTTATTTTATTTTATCTAGTTTATATTACATAATTTAATTTAATTTAATTTTAATTTATTTTATTATAATTTACTTTAATTTTATCAATATTTATTTCATTTTATTTTATTTTGATTTATTTTATTTTATCTAGTTCATTTCAAATTAATTAATTTTATTAATTTTTATTTCATTTTAATTTTTTTATTTTATTTTATTTTAAATTAATGTACTTAATTTTTTTTCGTTTTTCTTATTACATTCTATTTTATATTTTTATTATTTACTTTATATTTATATATTTACTTATATTACTAATTAATTTTATGTTTTTATTTTTTTTTATATATATATATAACTTTTTTGTTTTATTTTACTTGTTTGTTAATTTGTTTTATTTCATTTAATATTAGTTTATGTTATTTACTTTAATTTTTTATTTAAATATATATGCTTTAATAAATTTTTTTAAATTATATTTCATTTTATTTTATAATAATTAAATTTTTAATATATAATTTTTTTTAATATTACTTAATATTAATTTGTTATTATTTGATTTTATATTAATTAAGCTATATTTTATTTATATAAATTAATTTCACTACATTTTATTTTTTTATTTCATTCCTAATATTCTTTGTTTTAGCAATAAAAATTTATTTTTTTTTTTTATTATTTTATATAATTCTTTATTTTATTTCATCTTAAATTATTTTATTAAATTATTTTACTTTACTTTAATATTTTGATTGCTTTAATTTTCTTAAATTTAATTTTAATTTGTATTAATTTATTTCTAATCATTTCATATTTGTTCAATTCATTTTGCTTTAATTTAATATAATTTTATTTTATTTTATTTTATTTCATTTACAAAACTTTAATTAACTTTTTGTTGGATTTGTGTTCATATTTATTATTTTATTTTTTTTTCATCTTAAGTTATTTCATTAAATTATTGTATTTTACTTTAATATTTTTGATTTCTTTCATTTTTAAGTTTAATTCAATTTTTTATTAATTTATTTTGTTTCATCTTATATTAGTTTTTTTATTTGAATCTAATTCAATATAATTTTATATTATTTTACTTCAATTTGTTTTAATTTATTTCATTTTATTTTTCATTTTTCATTCTTAATTTTCCTTCTTTAAGCAAACTCTTTGCAAAAGTAAATCGCAGAGAATTTATCTAGAATTAAAAATGCACAGCACATCCTTTGAATATTCCATTCAATATTGGTATTTCGCAATATTTTCCCTTTCCAGTATAAATAATTAAAATAAAATATAATGAAATAATTAAATTGGCCCATGAGGGGAACGAACCCGCGACCTTCGAACTAATGGGCCACGTGGTGAAAAAAATATTCGATGATGACACGCGCTGAGTGCTCTCTAGAAGGTTTTGATAGCTAGAAATGCCAATTTTAATAAAAATTTCAATCAAAATTCAACTTTTGACAGCATTAGAAGCAAAAGCACAATTTATTTTCGAATTTTCGAAACTACGATTATACAAACAAAATATGTACATTGGCTTTTTGCTTTTGTATATTTGCTACTACCGTGTGTAAATTTGCCTTGATAGTATGAGATTGAAGGTGGGGTCCTCAAATGAAAATCCTCTGTCGGCTAAAAATTTACTTCGGGCTTCCGATTGGTTGAAATTTTGAAGCTTTTGTTGCGAAAAAAACAGCTTAAAATAGTTTAAGCAAAATTTCAGTAAATATTTTAAAATTAAATAAATTTCATAACGTTTTTTTTTAATTTTCTAAATTTAACGAGTATTGAAGCAGGATTTCTATAGTAAAAGTTGGTTCTAGAATTTGTTACAGCGCAGCTTAGAAGCGTTTAATCACATATAGTACATATACATATATATGTATGCAAAATTAAAATAAAACTCAAATTGTTATTTAAATACTTTTGTAGACAAAAATGCAAAACATGAAAAAAAAGAAATAAAATAAAAATAGAAAAAAAAACGAATAGTCTATGAAAAGAATATGTAAATACGTTAAATGTGTTGAATTTGCAAAATTTAAATTTAAACAAGTTTTTTTTTTAAGTTTAAGTCAATAATTAAGAAATCGAGCTCGAACTTCTTTTTTTTGCGCAGAAAATTGTGAAAAAGCGAAACAAATAAGGTTTGTACATACATAAATAAATGTAATTCATTAGATAAGCATATTTACATTAAATGCATAATTAAAAATATAAATAGTAGTTATAACAAATGTAATTAATATTTAAATAAATTTAATTGAATTTGAAAAGAAAATAAAATTAATAAAAAATTTTAAGCAAAAAATACATACATATATATATGTGCGTGTGTGCAGATATTTGTAGTTTTTTATTAAAATATATACTTTTTTCTTAAATATATATGTATTTGTATTTACCTTTAGGCTGTTAGTGTTTAAGTTATATTTAATTTATTTTGTATTAATTGTATTATGTAATAAATTTTGTAAATTTTATTGAAATTCTCAAACGTTAGGGTTTGTAGAAGTGACAAAAGTTGTGAAATTGATATGTTTGTCTAAGAATAATACATATAAATATTTGTAAATACATATATATAAATATATAAATAAGTGTGTTTCATTACCTTATGGGAATTAGCATTAGAATGTTGTAGCCTGTTTTGTCTGATGAACGGGTGTTCGGGGAACAATATAGGTCCTAGGCGGAACACTTAAGTCATTAGTTATTTATTGAGGACATTGCGGTCAGTCATCTATGTTTGTCCGTCTCTCTTGCGTTGGTCTTTGTTTTTGTCACACACAGGGTGACCATATGCTGTCAGCGCTCAACTGCGCCCCAGTCCTTCAAGGTAGTACCTTCTGCATCCCTAGCTTCTTCGGATAACCACCTCCGCAGCATGACTGTCATTCTTACCTGCCACCATCGCTGCACAAAACGTCGTTTCAAGATTCTTTAAACACAATTCACTGAGAATCCGTCAACACATTTATGCTCTACCAGTGAATGGCGTCCTCGGAATCCAAACCACCACCAGCAGATGAGGTGCTCGAGTTACTTCGTTTGTCCTGGGTGTAATAAGACCATGCATAACACTAACCTCTTCTTTTCTTGCCATGTAAAACTTACTCATATAAACCCCCCCTGTCAAAGCCTATCGTTTCCTGAACCTGGAGAACCGCATAAGCAACAACAACAACAACAACTAAGGTAAATTATTAAATGCCTTACCGGCAAGGGTTGTCGCCGCTGTACTCATTCACAGCCGTTTTACGTAGATAAGATAAAGAGAATATAGTGCCGAATAGGCCTAACCATAATTACAGTATAGATCTTGTATTTATCAGCTAGCAAACCTGAGAGCTAAAGCTGATCAAATGAATGTTATTCCAACATTAAACCGGTTTAAGCATAAATAACTACACCTTTTCGCAAAATGTAAGTATGTATATAAATTATTGCGCAAAATTGTGAAATTAAATTAAAAATATTACTAACAACAATAAATTCAAATATTTATTGAATGACCAAAAAGACCCTATTCAGTTACTCAAGAAATAAAATACAAATTTTGTAAATTTCGGCTTTTTTAATTTCCTTTTTTTTTGTTTTTTTTTCTCTTCGCATGTATGTATGTATGTATGTATGTAGCTGTACGTATCAATTAATGCAAAATGCAAATAGAATCAAATTAAAGAAAAGTAGTATTAACATTGCAATCAAAATATGTGGAATCAACCAATATTTTAGCGTCACATGTCACAATATTACATTACTAAATATAAGCATTTAGTTTATATAAATTGTTGAGAGCCTTTACCGTTTGGTATGTCTGTTTTTTTTTTAGGTATTTTAACTGGTGTCACTTCGCAACAGTTCAATAAATAACACTTTTTCGACAATCCATAGAATGGATTAAATCCTTTATATCCTTTAAACTCTACGCTATGACACACACCTTCAATCCTATTCGCAACTGTTTCACTATTACACACGCCTCCAACGCGATTTTATTTTGTGATTTTAATACGGTTGTTTTTTGTTTTTTTTTTTTTTGTTTCTTAATGTTGTATTTATTGTATTTTAATATAAGCTATCTGCATTAGATGAACGTGGTTTCTTCAGTTTCTCCAAATTCTTGACGACAATGTCATGTAAAGATGAATAACGATTTCGCACTTCGCATACAACCAGCCATAAGCTTAGGTATTCCTTTTCATCCAGCTCTATGACAGCACGGCGGTAATCTTCGATATGGGGATATTTGGCTACTTTAGAGACGACTTTGGCGCGCGATAGGAAATAGCGTGAAATTTGATCGAAGAATGCAGCAGCTTCAGATTCTACAGCTTGAATTTCAGCTAATGTATCTTCCTGTACGGACACACCAAAATTATTACCATCCTCGATTTTGGGTATTAAAAATGAAATCCACATTTTTAATAAATTGGCTGTAAATAATATGAAGTTTACATTAGTGATTTGGAAAATATTGAATGTTTTTTTTTTTTTTTTTTTTATTACTTACAATCTTCCACGAGTTTTCGTATAATAGGTTTAACAATTTTTATCATTTCGCAGAGTGGCTCATTGCAAGGTACCGTACCGGTAGGTAAGCACATTACTTTCGTGCCAGGCACAAAGTGATCTTCAACGCGTGGTCTCTTTGCCGCCGGTTGATCGCCGTCACCGCCATCGTCAGACCTTTCAGCATGATTATTCACCAAAACGGGGTCTGGCGTTGGAATGTTAAGGTCCTGATGTACTTCATTGAAATTTCGCTCACTGAACATAGGCGTTGCAAGGAGTTCATTTAATTCCACAATCTTTTCTGGAAACCCTTGAATAATAAGATGTTCCGCTTTCTTAATTAGCGAATCTTTGTAATCCTGTACTTGCTGTAAGAGAAACGTGGTGTATTGGTTAGTAAAAAATTGCATACGCTGTAAAAATTGTATACACTAACCTTGGTTGTGGTGTCCGTTGGCATTTTGCGCTAATTTTTAAACTATTTGCCTGCAATATTAGTTAAATTTTAGTGGTCCTCGTGGAAGTTTCGACAACAGCTTCAATGATTTGCCAATTGGAAAGGTGGCCGATTGGCTTGCAATTTGTTGATTGGGAAACAAAGCGCTTAGCTGTACGCAACAGGGTGATGCATAAGTATGAATTAATTCAAAAAAATTAAAGTGGAATTTAAATGTTCTACAATTTTTCCTTGCAGCGTCATCTGTTGCCATATTTTCAAAATCTTGTTGAACTAGGGATCTTATATTAATAATATTTAAGTATTATTGTAATAATAACATACAGATAATTTTTTCATAATAAAAATAAATGGAAACGCCACAATCAAAAATGATATTTTTATGCACCGGTTGTTATGGATTTTTATGACGTCAGGAAGCTTTTAGTGACATCTGTTGGCGCTATTTACAGGCAGACGAAAATTGAATTGTTCTGGACTTCCGTAAGCAGTGCAATTTTAGTTTGCGAGTTTCCGCTGTGATGCTGTTCTTAGTTTATAAGGATGCGTCAAATCTATTAAAAAAGTAATTGTGTAAGTTTTTTTTAGTCGCGCGAAACAGTAATACAGAAAAGCCAAATTTGCCTTGAACAATCCGGAAAGTATCGCAGTGTTATATCTTTAATATTGAAAGTGTACCGGAAGTAGCGAAAATAACGCAATATTTATTGAGGTAGCACGTAAAAGTCTAGGCGTGCTATCAAGTGAAACTTGCAGCAGTTGTGAGATAGGATGTAAAATTAAAAACCGAAAAGCTTTTGTCAATATCTCGCATTTTGAACTAAGCTTAGCTGAATCAAATACTGAAATCGCATGCAAGTCAATTGTGTTAATTATCGCCAGAAAGTTCAAGATATCCTTTGTGGTGTTTCAAACAAAGAGCCCGTTTGATAGATAACGCATAGTATATGCAAGTTCTCTAGTTCGGCGGCTTTTGCATGTTTGGTCGAATTTAATGAAAATTAAAATTTGTTGCTATTTTTGGTGTTCCATAATTGCCGGCTTACACAGCTGACAATGTACGGCGCGACATCTAGATGCGGTGTTTGTACTTGCCACAGTTGGTGCTTCCTTAGAAATAATTTCCTCGTTTTATTCTTAGTTGAAGGGAATTCTAACGCTTTAAAATAGCAAAATAGCAAAATAGCAGAGGAAAATTCAAAAAAGTATGTATTAATATAATGGTCAGCTTTCGGCAGGGAAAAGAAATAGAGTGCGTTATAGAAATCCATCTGTAACAGTGACGACTTATGACTGCAGGTCTTTCCATTTGAAGGAAAGACATCAATACACAAAAATTGGATAAACTCGGCTGGACTTGCTAATCTGATGACTTACATATACATACAACCTGACAAACTGCATAAAAAAAATTCTTCGTATCCTTGCAAACCCATTTCTTAAAAGGCAATATCAATCAATTTCTCATTCATTCTCATCCATTGAAACAAAGCATTTCATTCCCACGTACATAACTATATATAACTGTTACATATGAACATACTTACATATATATTTTATACAATTTAGTAAGTTGATATTGTAAAAACTTTATATTTATTGTTTTTATTGTTTTTTGTTCGGTTTTTTCTACGAAAGAAAATCCAATAAAAACCACATTTTCATTTTCTACCATTTTATGATGTCAAATACAATCAGAAGTATTTTGCAACAGCAGCTGACATTTATGTATATATGTATTTTATTTCCTGTTTCATCATTGCCAATGTAAGTGAGCTCTGTGGTGGCTTAGTAGCAAGGACGATTAAGTATTGTAGTTGCCCAAGGCGTATCGCCAGCACTTTGGGCTGGTGGTGGACAGTGGGCGGTACTAGTTTTCGCAGTGAATTGCAGGATTAATTATTTTTACACATTTTCATAAATTCTATTTTTTTGTTGTTTTGTGTGTCATACGGAAAGTGAAACTTTCGAAATCTAATTATATTAATTAATTTTTTTGAATTTATTATTTTAAATTATTCTCTGAGAATATTCTTCAACAACTCGGTATGAATCTGCCATGCCGCAGTGGAGAGAACACAACGTGATCGACCACTGCACATACGAGCCGCTTTGCATGTGTATGTAGAGCTTGAGAAGCTGTCCGGTAAGGGCAATACTCGAAAATTCTTCGAAAAGGTGGTAGTACTTATAGAATGTCCGTATCAGTGTGGCTTTAGACTTGGTAAATCTACAATTGACTAGATATTCGTCGATTTTGAAACAGTCAGGATTGTTAAGAACCGCTCTGAGTCGCTTTAAGCACTTACTCAGCATCGGGTGCATGTTTTATCGTGGGTAGAAGTACTCATTCCTTGAATGCCACTGTGCCTAGGCATCCAGAATATGGCAGCATTGTATTTAGTTGAGGGTGTGTTCAGATTGTTTCTACATTTTATGACCACCGTTACATTCTAAAAAGTTCTTATGGCAGTTTGACTGTCGGAGTATATTTTAATCGATTGTCCTGCTGCCGTAGATTTGAGCAGCCTCTCGGCGGCTTTCATGATTGAGAAGAATTCGGCTTGGAAGACGCTGCAGTGGTCCGGTATCCTCATGCTCATGCTTACTAAATGCACGGAAGAATAAATTCCGCAATCCATCAAACTTCGAGCTGTCTGTGAAGATGGCTATTGCACCCTGGACGTAGGCGTTGTTATTTTCCCACTCGCATCTGTTTGGAATTCTCATGGAGAAAAGATTATCAAAGCATACACTGGAGGTGGTCTAGTCGAGCTGCTTCAGCACTTCCGTTAGAGATAGTATTTTTGTTTGTCCTTTACTGCAAATCTTCCAAGATTGAAATGCATTCAATCTTATTGCGGTGCAACCCACTTGTAGTTGTCGCGTACAGGTCCAGAGGAAGGAGGTTGAGATGAGTTAGTAGTGTTTTTGAGGGAGCTGATGGGAGTGCTACCGTTGAACTCTCTCTAATTTGCTCTTGAATGTAATATCATCGAGGTGACGCCGCAGAGTGGTATTGCTCTAACTACCGATGTATTGATCCAGTACGCGATACTCGGTCATAGAGCACATCTTTTCCCGTATCGCCGCCGTTTTGCAACCGTTAAGTGCAGTTAAAGCTTTCCTTGACTTTCTTCTGCCGTGTCCCGCCTGCAGTTAATTTTGCTTTCTAAGATTAAGTCGTGATATTTGACTGCGGTAGAGAGGGTGTCCTCCACGCTCTTTACTTTAAATGGAATAGTGGTTGTCAAAATTGAAAACGAAGGATTTCATGTAATTCCCAAGTACTTCATTTCCTTTCCAACTTAACCAAGTATTCCCTCAACAAATATGCAAGTATGAGTAAACAAAATATCACGACACACACATACAAACTATTTCAAATGCTATGTGATAATAAAATGCGTCTCATCACGTTCAGGAGATTATCCCACAACATCAATAGTCAGACGCAATTCACACATACACACACACTCACTAACTCACTTACCATCTATTGATCTCTTCCCTCATCAAACACTTTGCCACCTACTTTTCCATTTATCTATTTGCTTGTCTCTTAGCACCTTTTCGCCAATTCAGCCGAACGCAAGTGGCAGCCGGGGTCAACAATGTCAGCAATTCACTTAAGGACAACACGGCAACGCAAAGTTCGATTCACCTATGCCGCGCCAATATAATTTTATATAAAATTGAGCATTGAGTATTAGGGTGGCTCACTAGCAACCATCAAACTTCGAGCTGTTTGTGAAGACGACTATTGCACCCTGGACGTAGGCGTTGTTATTTTCCCACTCGCTTCTGTTTGGAATTCTCATGGAGAAAAGATTATCAAAGCATACACTGGAGGTGGTCTAGTCGAGCTGCTTCAGCACTTCCGTTAGAGATAGTATTTTTGTTTGTCCTTTACTGCAAATCTTCCAAGATTGAAATGCATTCAATCTTATTGCGGTGCAACCCACTTGTAGTTGTCGCGTACAGGTCCAGAGGAAGGAGGTTGAGATGAGTTAGTAGTGTTTTTGAGGGAGCTGATGGGAGTGCTACCGTTGAACTCTCTCTAATTTGCTCTTGAATGTAATATCATCGAGGTGACGCCGCAGAGTGGTATTGCTCTAACTACCGATGTATTGATCCAGTACGCGATACTCGGTCATAGAGCACATCTTTTCCNGATTCCGAAGTTTAAACTGGAGCACTAAAACGGTTCAGAGACTTAGGCTCAGTTATTTAAGACTAAACTTTCACCCACAAATACAAATAAAGCAAATTGGCTTTTGACTAGTACGATGCAGACTAATTTGAGGCAAAATAGCTCTGAACTGGTATAAACGAACCAGCATTTTAACTAGTATATATCAACTGCTTTTAAACTGGTATTAAGCTGATGCTTATACAGACAATTGACAGTTCGTAGGACCAGTTGTTTATGCGGAAAATAGGTGGGAGCTGAACTAGTTGGTGTGAAAATGTAAACCTGTTCTTCTTCTTTATTGGCGTTGGCAGCAATTACGCGTTTATAGTCAAATAAATTACAACGCGCCATTCACCCCTCTTTTGCGCTTTTTGGCGATAGTTGGAAATAACAAGTGAGGTCATGTCACTGATCCTTCCATCGGAGTGTAGATCTTTCTCTTCCTGTGGAAGCTGGACTGCTTTCATCCCTTCGGGCGACATGACCTTGACAGCGTAGCTGCTGTCTCTTCATTCGTTGAACTATGTCAATATCATCATATAACTCGTACAGCTCATCGTTCTATCGTCTTCGGTGTTCGCCGTTGCCAATCCGCAAAGTACCATAGGTCGTTCGCAAAACTTTTCTCTAAAAGACACCCAAAGCCGACTCATCAGCTGTTGACATCGTCCACACCTCTGCGGCATATAGTAGGACGGCTATGATGAGTGACTTGTAGAGTTTGGTTTTCGTTCTTCGGGAGAGGACTTTACTTTTCAATTGCCTATTCAGTTCAAAGTAGCACATGTTGGCAAGAGTGATTCTGAGCTGGATTTCAAGGCTGACGTTATTATTGGTGTTAATGCTGGTTTCTAGATAGACCAAATTGTCTACGACTTCAAAGTTATGATTGTCAACAGTGACGTGGGAGCCGAGTCGCGAATACGATGGTCGTTTGTTTGATGACAGGAAATA